ACAGTACTTCTTTCACTTCGTGAATACAAGAAGACAACTGAAAATGACACAATTCTTCAGTGATCGACCTTCTCTCTCACGGAGCTAAGCAGAATGTGCGTCATCACCTGTAGTCGCCATGGAAACGGGATCAGGAAATCGGCGATATGGCAAGCTTCCCTAGTAGGGCTCAGATGAAAGACAATTGGATATCGGTTCCGATGGTATATCTCTCGCTTGCGTACGGCAAGGGAAACTCGCCATATCGCCGATTTCCTGATCCCGTTTCCATGGCGACTACAGGTGATGACGCACATTCTGCTTAGCTCCGTGAGAGAGAAGGTCGATCACTGAAGAATTGTGTCATTTTCAGTTGTCTTCTTGTATTCACGAAGTGAAAGAAGTACTGTGTTCAAGGCTGTTAGTGCCGTGAACTGTGTATTAGTAGTCCTCTCCGTTGTGTACTGGGACGTGACACCGACAGGGGAAAGCTGGAGTGCGGAGACGTTAGCTGGCAAGCGAAAATCGTGACGAACCAAGTGCTGAAATCTTGGTTGGGACAAATCAAACGTTCAGCATTTACCTCAACCAAGGACCATGCCGTTTGCTCTTTCCACTTCCTGAAGATGGATGCGCTGCCTGCTGGAGACTCTCCTATCTCTCGTAACATCTTCTGAAGCCAGGTGAGACGACGAGTAGCGGAGATTAGCGAACGAAATAATGTCGTATGTTTTGAAATTTTTGCTGAACATATCTCAGGAGAGATGGCATGTATGAACTTGGTCCATGTGAACTCAATCAGCCCATGAACTAACCCATGAACAAATGCTTTCCTTGCAGACGTGCATGTGTCTATCCAATCTACACGTAGAGATCATTCCATGCCCTCAGTGAATGGCCTATTATTATTTGTCCATACACTTCATCTGCATGTTGTCTCTATGGAGAAGGGTATTGTTCATTTCAAATGAAGAAGTTCGGGCAATAGATGCTTTCCTCTGGTACAATTCTGTTGACCTGATGTTCTTTCTAGCTTCATGGGTAGCTTACGTGAGGTACCATCACCATCATGTTTACATGAGGGTCAAACACTGCACCGTTCTTTGTCGTGACATGACATAAGTTATTGTAAGTGCTCGCAGACTCCATGCGTTCCAGCAACACCTAGCATGGTTTTCCGTGAACGTAGTGGGTGAACAAATTCCTGTCCAACATATTTATACAGACATGCCAGCACATGAAATGCACCATACACACACTTGCCCTGCCCTGTCGAGTCACTGCCACGTGGGCCCGGAGGGGCAGTGGAGAGAGAATGGGAGAACGCCGCCCCATGGCGCCCGGGACACAAAAACAAGAGTTTGTCTACGTAGGGAGCAACACACATACATATACATACACCACGCACATACACACACACACACATACACACACACACACAAAATGAGAGTTTGGGTCATCTGCCACGAGACTGACGTACGGCCGGGAAGAGCTTCAGCAGCGGTGTCTATTCCTGCCCTGGACCAAACGGAAGCAGCGGTCGCAGGACACACAGTATTCACCACAACACGGCTCCACTGTCGTTGGGGGCTGAGCCACACACTTGTGACGAGCAAGAACGCCACAGCTAAGAAAGCAACGGCCACAGCGATCACACTGGCATGTTCCACGCTGATCCTGCACACACACACTCTCTCTCTCTCTCTCTCTCTCACACACACACACACACACACACACACACACACACACACACACACACACACACAAACACACACGCGTACACACATACTGCAAGAAAGAAAGAGAGCATGAGTGTCAGATTCTTGCATAGGAAGTGTTTATCAGCACACACTTATACATGCACATGCAGGCACTCAACGACCAACTATGCACCATGCCGTATGTTCGTCAAACATAAGATTGCAATACCAAAGAACAACATAAACAAGATCACTTACTTCGTTCTCCTCCAAATGTGTCCTCCCCAGCCAGGCCATCTCCTGCATTTCCCTAGGCGGAATGTAGCCTACGAAATGGTTTCTCTAGACTTGGAGAAGATGCTTGGTATTCGCCATCTCTCCTGAGAAATGTTCAGCAAAAATTTCAAAACATACGACATTATTTCGTTCGCTAATCTCCGCTACTCGTCGTCTCACCTGGCTTCAGAAGATGTTACGTGAGATAGGAGAGTCTCCAGCAGGCAGCGCATCCATCTTCAGGAAGTGGAAAGAGCAAACGGCATGGTCCTTGGTTGAGGTAAATGCTGAACGTTTGATTTGTCCCAACCAAGATTTCGGCACTTGGTTCGTCACGATTTTCGCTTGCCAGCTAACGTCTCCGCACTCCAGCTTTCCCCTGTCGGTGTCACGTCCCAGTACACAACGGAGAGGACTACTAATACACAGTTCACGGCACTAACAGCCTTGAACACAGTACTTCTTTCACTTCGTGAATACAAGAAGACAACTGAAAATGACACAATTCTTCAGTGATCGACCTTCTCTCTCACGGAGCTAAGCAGAATGTGCGTCATCACCTGTAGTCGCCATGGAAACGGGATCAGGAAATCGGCGATATGGCAAGCTTCCCTTGCCGTACGCAAGCGAGAGATATACCATCGGAACCGATATCCAATTGTCTTTCATCTGAGCCCTACTTGAAAAATCGATGCACTTCCCCTTTAATCTGCCCATTGTGTGCGCCTACCAACAGCGCCCTCCTTGCATTGGTGAAGTGTCCCTTTGCTTGCGCCTTCCGTTTGCGCAACACGACAATGCTCTCATCTCTTGCCACAGAATCCGATTGCTGAGGCGTACCGCCGCGCTGTTGCGACTCTTCTACCGCGTCTTCCGCGGCGCTACTCTCGACTCTTTTGTCAACGTCCTCCATCTTCGATATCGAAACTCACTACGACTGTCTACTCACTTTGACACTACTGGAAAACCATCCTCTGCTACCATGCGACCATGTTATGGAGGATCACGAGATCCGCCGAATCCGCTACCGGCAATCCACAACAACAAGGCCTCGGAGTGATGGAGAACGCCCCTTCTATTCAGTTTCGAACTGCTACTAATGTCCCTTTAGACACTCATACAACACACGCCTTTCGATAGGTGTTGTTCTTCGATCTTTTCACACAAGTACAAGAAATACACGTAACACCGACTCTAGAAACAACTGCAAGAAAACTGAATGCTTCATCGCATCATCATCTGATGGAATAATGGGAGCGCAGCGATTCTTATGGTAGGTTGAAAGCACACAGCCAGCATATCAGGAGCCAAACACAGACGAAAGGAAACAATTGGAATAAACAATACAGTGAACAATTCCGCTGCATGGTTAACAAAGAATAACCGCAGATAACCGCTCAGACAAATCACCGGGTGGTCGCCGTCTGAGGCACGTCAATGCACAAAGGTAAAAACGGCCAATATTGCAGAAGTATTCAATATGGCAGGAAACTACTACTAACCAACTCTCCGTCCGTGTCCAAACACCTACATTTAGAAGCTACCTGGAATACTGTGGCTGTGCTATTATTAGAATTCATACTGGATGACAATGCACAACAGAAACTAGCAGTGTCCTCCTGAACACTAAATGATCAAGGGAAAATCAAAGGTTAAAAATCCAAAGAAGTGTGACACATGACGGGTAACTTGTGGTAAGTATTACAAAAAGTGAGAACTAAGATAAAGAGTAAGTGTGACAAACGGGCATTAACAGTGCAGAAACAACTCATGAACACGGGGTGCAAACTCACGAAAATAACCTAAGTGCTAAAACATGTTCTTTTTGCTTACGCAAATCGGGCTTATGCGTACGAATACAAACAGCTTCAAGGACCTTCAACTGCTGGACATAACGGGATACAATCAGTCATGTTACTTTGTGTGCAGTCTACTGTGACCATATTCACGCGATTTGATCTGCACAATCATGATTGTAGATCTACAGACATTGTGGTAGACGTGCATGTGTATCATGGCCGGGCCATGCCCATGGATAAGACTGCAACACTACCAACAGTGCAAGACTGCCAAGACTGCAAGACGCCAAGAGTCAAGTCAAGAGGCCAGGGCAGCATACAGGTCGCCAGCCGGTTGTCCCATCCATCTACCAGTATCATTAGAGAGGTTTTGCATTCCGAAATTCGGCAAAAAGATTCGGCACGTGGGAGCGAGGTCGAAAATGCACACGAAGATTCGGCGTGTTTGTTCGGAAAAAGCTCACTTTGCCGAAAATATTTTTCGGATGCATTTTCTTGTAGAAGAGCGCTAGCGCGTGATTTATTCAAAGAGGTTTCTTATATCGGCCTCGCTTGGCAGGCGTCTTTGGCGACATAGCATCGTCAGCTACCTCTGATTGCTCCTCTCCACTGCCTGTCGACTCTCTTTCGCCTGGAGTGTCCTCACCGTCATCTGTGTGGCTGAAAAGACTATGGCGACACGCATAAAATTTGACTTGGCCATGGAGTTGCCAGTTGGTTTTTCTGAGGCGACTGAGGAGGCAGGTTTGGCCCTCGACTCTTTGGGCGATCAAAGTTCGTTGGAATCAGCAAGAAAAGGAGCACGGGACAGGACGTTGCTGATGCTGGGGCTCACGAAATGAAAACACATCATTTTCGACTTGCAAAACAAACGTTGGTGCGAAAATTCGACATTTTGATGTTCGACAAATGACCGAAGAACGCTGTACCGAAATTCGGAATGCAAAACCTCACTATTATCTGCCGTTGGCACTTGGCACTTGGCAGCTGGTTGCTCGACAGGGTGGGTGATACACCCCGATTTCACGCGGATTCTGTTTGTAAAAACCCCGTGGTTTCACGAGAAACGCGGTTTAGTATTTTCTCATGAATTCCATACCGGTAGTTCAAGTTTTTGGGGTAAAGTTGTCGGGGCGAGCGTGATTGATTTTGTAGAGAACCCAACATGCATGATTATCGCATCCTGTCTGATTATGAGTTTTACAGCACACGTGTATAGGAGGCAAACACAACAGAGCCGGCCCGTCACCCACCTCCGACATCGGCTGATTTGGGGCATTTTCGTCGATGGGATCGTCGTTGGGAACGTTCCCGAGCTTGCAGTTTGTCGGTGGCTGCAGCTGCTGAGAATTAGCCCAGTGTCGCTGGTGTAGTCCTACTAGTGATATTCGTAGCAGCACAGTGAAGTGGAGAACAAACGGCTGAGAGAGCTAGAACAGTAGCTCGAAGAATCCCAGCGCAGGGTCTCAAACTTGGCTTGCGTTGGGCGGGCAAGAAAATTCATTCATGGTCTCGCGGAAAGGTGCCTTGTGCGCGGAGCCTTGACGTGCGGTGATTCATCGAGGTACCGATCGCTAGCGCTGCCGCGGCGGTGAAGCGTTCAATAAACATGGACCCCGATGTGGTCTGCGAAGGCTATCTCCTCAAACTGCCGCACACCGGACTGGGAAGGGTAAGGACGTGGCGCATGTTCCCATTGCGATGCATGCGTGGCCATCGATCCTCAGAGTCAAACGACGTTCAACAGACTGCGTAGCTTTCGCAATGGTCTGAAACGTTTTGACTTTGAATGGGGCTTCTATGTTGTACATGTAACTGTTCTGTAACTTGATTAGAGTGATAGCCGCGACCGCTATGACGGTGGTCCGCTGTGAATATTTCCCAACATGCATCAATCGTAAACTTTGTTCGTCTGGCTTATCCTCTAAAGGTACAGTGGGAATATAATAATGTACATGTCGAATCGGAGTCGGTGTACCGTCAGTCGGTCAAGTGCACATCACTTGGACAATGGTACGCGAATGCCTGATCAGAGAACTTTGAGCAACAGTGATACAAGGATCTAGACCGTGTGTGATGCCTGATGATGGTGTTTTACGCGAGAATCTCAGTGTCACAGTAAACTTTTTTTTACCTCGAAAACCTCCGCTCCTTTCTTTTTAGTTGTGATGTGCACGGTACGGGTAGTCGGGTAGCTGTGCTGCCCGTGAGGACGGAGGTAGACGGGTACAGAATAGTACCCGGAAACCCGTAGTCGCAGGTGACAGTCATCATGTTCAGTGCACGTGTACAAATTCATGCAATACTCCGCATGTCTACCCAGTGTGTAAGGGAAGGGGTGCAGTATGGTGTTACCATGGAAACATTACCCGATCGGGTACCCGTGCTACCCGTGGAAAACTACCCGAACCCGATACCCAAAGAAAATGCTACCCGACTCGGCCCTACTTTGTAGTGGTCAGAAAGCACTTCTTGTTCTGGTGTTTGCTGTGCAGACTCCAATGCAACATCATGCAGTTCAACGAAAATGCAGTCGAAAATCACTATGAGATGATTCATTATTCGCCTGGGTCGAAGTCGGGGATTTTCCCCCATATGTTGCAATTTTAGAGTGGCAAGACAATAATTATTGTTAAGTGGAAAAAATGGGATAACTGTTTTCCATGCCCCCCCCCCCCCCCCCGCTTACTCTTGACCAGGCTAGAACCCTGGACCTGTGTGCTAATATGTTTCCCTCCGACTAAGTCTTTATCTTATCTACCATGATGGTGTCCCATCGCCTCACAGCCAGGCCCAGCGTCTGAATTAATATTCGCCTCTAACTGCCGTGCTAAAATTGCCTCGGCAGCTTTAATCTCTTCCCTTCTTTAATAGCCTAGGCACTTTCCATTACGAGTATTAGAGAGGTTCTGCACAACGAAAATTCGAACGAAGTTTCGCGACAGGCCTTGCGAATATGTGTACGAATTTTCGCACGAACTTTGTGTTCTGCACATTTTCGTAGTTTGCATGCGCCAAATGCACGTACGCCATGATCCGATCTCACGAAACTTCCTACGAAAGTTCACTTCGCGTTCCCTGCAAGTTTCGCGTCCACATTTCACCAGAATGCCGAAAGACCTTTTATCATACATACGTTTTGCCTATTTTCTTGTATTGCTGTGTGGTGTGGTGTGGCGCTGGTAATGGCCTCTTTGCAAAGCTGGAGATTGTGCATCGACGAATTCTCCGGGCAATACTTCGTTTGCCGCCCGAGACCAACATAGCCGTTCCCTATGAAAATTGCTGTACATTTCCTCTGAAACATTACATTGACCGATCCTCCTGCGTATACATTCACAAAATCAAACTTATCACTGCCCCTCAGCATGTGCAGCATTCCATAAACTGGTTCAATGAATCCTCAACAAGCCGGAACTCGCTTCGTTTCCCGATTGCAAAAAACAATTCTATGAGCAAATCGCCTGTATTCCTAGCATACCGATTATGGGATTCTCTTCCTCAGCAATTAAAGTCCAGCAACACCCTCAATGCATTTTTAAGCTTGATAAATATACACGTACGTCGATCTTCATTTACTAATCATTGATTTCAATTCTCTTTGTGAATTACTTCAAGCTCCAAAGTAAATCACATATGCTACCTGTACAATTCATTTGGGTTTTGGATTGATTTACTTTTCTTTCATTTTTATTTTCATTTAACTTGCCATATTTTGCGTGTGCATTTTTGCCTTCTTGTCATATTTTGCGTGTGCATTTTTGCCTTCTTGTTCTTTTATTCCATGGCTGGTAGCCCTCATTCATAATATTGGTTGACACCATGTCATCCATGAATTGAGAATAATAATAATAATAATAATTATACTTGAATTGTTTGCAGGCAACCTGCCTACACTCAAGAGAGCACTGCATTTCACACAAATCCATTGGTATCGTTACAACGTTTCGGTCTTTATGACCATCATCAGGAATGAAGTGGACATGGAAAGAACAGCAGTATAAAAGAAGGAGGCAAGCAAGCAAAGCGCGGTACATAGTGACAGCGCGCGTAGAGAAGTGCAAAGCACGTCATGGCGGGTGTGCATTACTACATATACATGACAACACAAGCACAAACGGCGAGGAAAGTAGATACTGCGCTACAGCAGTGATAACAGCCCAGTTCCAGTCTCACACCACCAGTGAGGTGTCTAGAGCCCCGCGCCACTCGCAGTAAGGTGGTGTTATAGCAGATCCCAGCCACTGTTATTGATAATTTCCGGGGATCGCTCCCTGATATTGATGGCCTCCCGGATCCTCCTCCTGGGGCGGTCACGCTCAGAACCGAGAACCCGGATACCTGAAAAAGCCGTTGCTCCCAATGGCAATGGGTCAGATGCATGCTTGGCCGCGAAATGCTCACCCAGCGCGGTGCCGCTCACTGTGTTGCGTGCGTCGTCGTTGTGTTCTTTTGTCCTGGTAGCGAGGCTGCGGTACGTCTCTCCGACATATTTATCACCACATTTGCATTCGAGGTGGTATACAACATTTCGCTCCGTGCATGCCCCTGAACCGGACATGCAGGCGACACAAGCAGCTTTGGGCCGCCCCCGTTTACGGGGCCTGGACGGGTCTACATACCTGCGGCATGGTGGTTTGCGGAGGGCAGACGTGCAAATCATAGAACTTAGACGGCGGTTCCTGTAAATCAGCTGGGCATTTATCTTGTACTTCCGGAGTAATTTATGAATTTTGTTGTGGATATACTCGGTGTGAAACGGTAGGTTGAGGGTGACACGGTATTCATTCTGCACTCTGACACGTCGGGGGCGCATAGCTCGTTCACGTGCCGAAACTATAACTGACTCTGGGAAGTTGTTGAATTTTAGGATGTTGGTTACTTTTTCTTCACTTCTTTTTAGGGTGTCGGCATCGGAGGATAGGCGGACGGCACGCAGGAACTCAGAGGAAGCAATTGCTTTCTTTTGCTGGTTGGGAACTGACGAGTTGTAGTCTGATACCAGTCCGCTGTGACATGGCTTGCGGTATAGTTCATAGGATATAGATCCATCTGGTGAGACATGGAACAGTGGCTGGGATCTGCTATCAGGGAGCGATCCCCGGAAATTAACAATAACAGTGGCTGGGATCTGCTATCAGGGAGCGATCCCCGGAAATTAACAATAACAGTGGCTGGGATCTGCTATCAGGGAGCGATCCCCGGAAATTAACAATAACAGTGGCTGGGATCTGCTATCAGGGAGCGATCCCCGGAAATTAACAATAACAGTGGCTGGGATCTGCTATAACACCACCTTACTGCGAGTGGCGCGGGGCTCTAGACACCTCACTGGTGGTGTGAGACTGGAACTGGGCTGTTATCACTGCTGTAGCGCAGTATCTACTTTCCTCGCCGTTTGTGCTTGTGTTGTCATGTATATGTAGTAATGCACACCCGCCATGACGTGCTTTGCACTTCTCTACGCGCGCTGTCACTATGTACCGCGCTTTGCTTGCTTGCCTCCTTCTTTTATACTGCTGTTCTTTCCATGTCCACTTCATTCCTGATGATGGTCATAAAGACCGAAACGTTGTAACGATACCAATGGATTTGTGTGAAATGCAGTGCTCTCTTGAGTGTAGGCAGGTTGCCTGCAAACAATTCAAGTATAATGAAGCTGCGTGAAGCGTCCTTCAAAATTTTGAATAATAATTATAATAATAAAAAAAGTTGCGAAAGTTCGTGCGAAGTTTCTCACTTTGTGACGTAGAGCGAAAGTTCGTACACATTTTCGTTTTGCAGAACCTCTCTATTATCATTGTATGGACTCGGCTGGAGAGCCAAGGATAAATGTGCAGTAAAGAAAAGGTCCAAGTAACTACAAGTTACGCTATAATGTCCACTAACACCACCAGTTACTAAACAATCAGCTCATGTGATAAAATTGCACGACACTGACCGACGGTACTGACCTTCTACAACTAACTGGCTAACGGCTCTAGCACATCTTGGATGCGCACTCCATTATCCATTATTATTATTATTTATTTATTTATTTATCGTCTCCACTTCATATGGCACATAATAATACATAGCCAATACAAGAAAGGGAGGGTAAATCCAACCACGGAAAATGGCATAAACAAAAGAAGAAAAGAAAGGAGGTGTCACCGTGTGTCAACAGCAGGTAGCACAATGCTATTTTAGCTGAAATGCATCCTTAGAAGCTGAAAGAGACTGAACAACGCTACCATTGTAGTTTGAGGATTGGTGGAACAACCCTGTAACTCTGAGTAACAACATACTACAATGAAACCTGTCTAAGGCGACCGCTCAAGGGACCTTCCAGGTGTGGTCTCTGTAACCAGGTGGTCTCCGTATCCAGGGTCATTTGACTGGAAGTAGCATCCCTTGGTCCTGGTTGCAATGGTCTTCTGGGACAGGTGGTCGCCTTATCCGAGTGGTCGCCTTGACAGGATTTACTGTAGTAAACAGTCAGCTTGTCCGATAACTGTAGATTGATCCTTGGCTCTTGGTCCAAGTCAACTTCCCTGTCCTGTAGGGTTTACCAGGTGTTAGCGGCCGTCGTGAGTTCCCTTCAGGAACGGACACGATAGTTTACTTTTTTATTTTATTTTTTATGATTCTCCATCGTACATGCAGACCTGGAACAGGCGCTATTTCGTGCTGTGGAGGGCGTCGCACCTGGGCAGCGCTCGGCTGGAGTACTTTGCCGACGAGCGGGCGTACCATAACCATGCTAGCAAGAAAGCACTTCAGCTGCGGTTCTGCGAGTATGTTGCACAGGTAAGCTGGAAGAGTGGGCATAGTGCGTGTTGTGTATATAAATGCATAATGTAGTAGAATAGATCTATAGACTTGATGTGGTTAAATTACCATCATCATTTGAATTTGGTGTGGGTGACAGGATAAGCAGGATAGTGCCACTCCTATCGTGTGTGCTTGTGTGTGTATAAGTACTTTATGGGTGCGCACACGCGCGCACGTGTGTGTGTGTGAGTTTGTGTGTTTGCGTGTGTGTTTGCTTGTGTATATGTGTGTATATATGTGTGTGTGTGTGCGTGCGTGCGTGCGTGCGTGTGTGTGTGTGTGTGTGTGTGTGTGTGTGTGTGTGTGTGTGTGTATGTGTGCCCGTGCATGGCTGGCCGTTGGTACATGTCCACGGCTCCAGGTCACAGACAAGGCAAAGCCGTTTGTGTTTGAGATGAAGGTGGAGCAAGCTACGCATCGCATGGCGGCTAACTCCCAGGTTGGTGTACATGCTACTGGCCTGTATCCTCGGCACGTTTCACACTGAATTTGTCTTACCACAGAAGCACAGATTTGTCAACAACTTCCACCGGTATCACCAAGAGTACACGACGTCCGAGAAGGTGCAACTCCCGCACACCACGATGTCCCGACAGAAATTTCAAATCGACATCATGCCTATGCTGGAATGATCCCCGCATGAGTGATTTACGATGTTTGTACGGGATACCAACGCATCACACGTGTTTCCGTGAACTGATTTTAACAGGATTCAATTGTGCGGTATGTCTCAGGCACAGCCACATGATACATCTGATATTTTGAGTACAATGCGTAGAGCATCATGAAAAATGACGTCCACTTCAAACTTAGTACCCTATAGTGGAGTTGCACAGTCTTGGCGACTATGTACTCTTGGTATCGTGAAGAGAGGTGGGATGCATGCATCCTTTGCAGCTGTATGCCTATATGCTATTTATGAGAACAGAAGTGCTGTTTTTTCCTAAATGAGAAGTTTCAAGACCAAGCTGCTATGAGGGAAAATAAACTGGGGAGTGGGATCGGGGGGGGGGGGGGGGGTATTGGTGGTGGGGAGGTGGGATGGGGGAGGGGGACTGGGGCTGAGGGGTTGTCATCTCTATGCCAGTGTTTCTTAAAGCACTTTTGCTCCTGTGCCGGTACTGTTGTTACTTCAGGAAGAACTGAACACTTGGCTTGATATGCTTCAACGAGGCGTAGCCAAAGCACAGGGAGTGGTCAACGACACAAGCACAATGGGTATGGAGTAGTGTGTGTATGTGTGTATGTATATATGTGTGTATGTATATATGTGTGTATGTGTGTATGTCTGTGTGTGCATATTGATCGATTGTTATTAGAATTGATTTTTTCAATTTTTTGCCTTTATCCACTACATGTTGGTATGAAATTGATGTGTGTACGAGGCCAGTTTTTATCCCCATAGTTTTCATTTTTCCTTTCTTTTCCTCTTTCTTCATCCTTTTCTTGGTGTCTTTGCAATCCTGCTCAAACAGTAACTGTCCCTCTGTTTGTACTGCCCTCATACCTCGTTTGTAGGGGTGGTCCTGGGCCGGACACTGCCGGTAACTCTGAAATGTTCGTATCTCCGAATCACATGTATTTTGATGGAGAAAGGCCATAGACATGGCGTGTGACGTCACTATTGCCACAAACAGTGACAACTACAAAGGAGTAGTAATATTTCCACTGAAACTCTCCCATAGAGTACTCGGTACACCAATGTACCTGTAACTTCGGGGTCTAGATAACCGAGGTATCGGTGCACCAATGTCCAGCATCAGTGGATAACTGGAATGAGCAGGCGTCTTTGTTACTTTTTGTCTTTCTTTTTACTTTGTTTTACTTCGCAAAGTCCGAACGGGAATTTCTTCCCAACGACAAGGTAGCGAAGAACTTGCAGTGCTGACACGGCCTCAGGGATGCAAACACCGTATTATTCTGGAATGGGGGATGGTCTGTTATTACCGCCTGCCTCAAATATGCGTCACATCATTTCCGGGATTATGTCTGGATTTTTTCAATCCTAATGCCGTTCTCACTTGATTAGAAGCCACTCTCGAATAAAAGCCCCTCTTGAATAATAGCCCCCCTACAAGGACTGTTTGAAAAAATACAAGTCCCTCTCGAATAGAAGCCCGGACTACTATTCGCAAAGCATGGATTGACCAGGTAGTGCCATGTATGAAGGTCAAGTTTGCAAAAAACATCTCGTGCATGTTCCTATTGGTACAAGTCCTGGTCGATGTAGTGTTTGCAAACTAACTCGGGGCCGAGTTGCTGTGAATATGAAAGTTTTACAGAATCGATTGGAATACTGGTATGGAATGAAACAATAGAAGCCCCTCTCGAATAGAAGCCCCTCTTGAATAGAAGCCTCCTCGAAATTGGTACTGAAAAAAGAGAAGCCCCCGGCTTCTAATCGGGTGAGTACGGTATTTCCGGCAGTTTGGTCAGCAATCTGTTTGTGTGCCTTGTCATGGCCGTACTAGAAGTGCCATTGTCAACCGGGGCTGTTGAACATGTCGTGTGCGTGTGTGTGTATGTGTGTGTATATGTTTGTTTGTGTGTGTGTGTGTGTGTGTGTGTGGTGTGTGTGTGTGTGTGTGTGTGTGTGTGTGTGCGCGCCTGTGTGTGGCTGTGTGTGCGTATGTGTGTGTGTGTGTTTGGGTGTGTTGTTGCTCCTCAAAGGTACGGAGTCTCGCTTTGCCGACCCAGGCGCCGGGTTCAGTTTCGTGCCCGTCGGGGACGCAAATGCTGACCCGATGCAGTGGGGATCGGGTTACGCCGCTCCCCCCGCTGGCCAGGCCCAGTCCTTCTCTTCACCAACGTCACCTCCGCTGGCTGCCGATGATCCGTTTGCAGTGAGTAGCGTCAGCACATGTATACCAGGCGCGTAACCCGTATGGGGCACGGGGGGGGGGGGGGGGGGGGAGGGGGCACGTGCACCCCCTCCCACCAGAATGTGAAGAAAGCAGCAGCGGAGAGAGGAGAAGAAAATGAGAGGAAAGAGAAGAGAGGAGAAGAGAAGGTCGGAGTAGAAAAGAAAACAAAGGAGGACACATGACAAACAAGTAGTCTCCATTGAGAGAATTCACTCAATTCGCGCCCGACATTCTTTAAAAAATATATCAACTGTGTTTGCCAGAGTACAAAGCGCAGTATCAGTTAGCTTCTCTTGCCTAGTCTCCAATCATATCTACTCTGAATAGCATCTCTTCTCGACATGAGAGTCTTCCGGCTCGGTGGACTGCGCAATATTCATTCCAATAGAGCTATGGTACGCACGACACAGAGCACCACGCATTGTTTGTTGCAACTAATAGTTTCATGCCGCTGGGCAATCATCACACAACTAAGAACATGAAACTAGTACTTAAAGTAGTTACAACGGACGCTGCATGGTGCTCGGTGCCGTGTGTCGCATCTCTCCTCTCTCCTGCTCTCTCTCTCTCTTGTGTGCAATGTTGTATGAAATAGGCTCCACTCATCTCTACTGTGCATAGCATCTCATCTCTCCCTTTCTCTCTCATGCGCTGTGCCATGTTATATGCAATAGGCTGGAGCAGCCACAGGTATACGGGAGAACATGGCGTACGAATCCGGCGTTGCTGGTGAGTCGAAATATCACGACTTCCTGGAGGTTTCCACTGAAATGCAAAATGTCCTCTTCTCACACTATGTATTATTTCCATGTAGTAGCTTGAAGTATGTGACTGTTCCTGTACTGTCTTATAAATGCCAACTTTGTATCATTCTTCTCCTATATCCCTGATGATGCCCTCCTGGGTGAAAATTTGGACAATTTCAACTGTACGTGGTGTAGCCAAGGACTGTTTGTGGGTTGCGAGTTGGGTGTACTGAAAATAGTACCCACCCACGGTAGAATTCTATGCCTAATTTAGAATTCTTTTCCTACTTTAGACTTTATTCCCACCTTGGAGTGCTATTGCCACTTTAGATCGCTGTTCCCTCTTTAGTGTGCCATTCACTTTTTTTAATTGTTCCCACTTTAGAGCTCTGTTCTCATTTTAAAGTGCTGTTCCCACTTTAGTGTTCTATGGCAATCTGTGTCCCATTCTTATAATTTTCAGATTGATATTCCAATTATAACAATACAATTCTCATTTTGGCATACTGTTTCTGTAGCAGTGGTCATTGCAAGATTTTACCATTCAGTGGCAAAGTGCCAATGGCTATCGATCAATCATTTCTTTCGCCTTGGTCCTTTGTGTTGTTGCTCTTAGATGGCAGGTTCAGGGTTCATGTTGAGCCCACGGCTGCATCACAACAGTTCGGATTCTCCGGCGAATACACATTGATCGTATCCAGCATCTCACTTCAACTCATCGGTGTCGTCACTAATCAAGTAAGAATGCTGTGAGCGTGGATGGAGGTGGTGGTGGTCAGGGTCGGGTGGTGGTCGGTAGGGGTGGGGATAGGGTGGAGGTGGGGTGGTGGTGCGGTGGGATTATGACACTTTCTTCTGCAGACGTTATAAATGTTTGTACCATGAACGTACTTTGACGAATGGATAGAACGGCCTTCCGTGCTAGAGTGTTTTCCCACAAGCAGTGCTACATGTCGGAATCACACGCACTGTGTGCTGACCTCAGCATGTTCTCTCCGTCTGTGTGTGTGTGTGTGTCTCTCTCTCTCTCTCTCTCTCTCTCTCTCTCTCTCTCTCTCTCTCTCTCTCTCTCTCTCTCTCTCTCTCTCTCTCTCTCTCCCTCACTCTCTCCCTCTCTCTCTCTCTCTCTCTCTCTCTCTCTCTCTCTCTCTCTCTCTCTCTCTCTTTCTCTCTCTCTCTCTCTCTCTCTCTCTCTCTCTCCCCCTCTCTCTCTCTTTCTCTCTCTCTCTCTTTCTTCCTCAATCTAAATAATTCCTTTCTTCCTTTGTCTCTCATTCGCCTAGGTTATTGCAACATGGCCACTGCGCTACCTGCGTCGGTATGGTCGGGAAGAGCGGACTGTGAAGTTCACGTTCGAGGCTGGCAGAAAGTGCCAAGCTGGCCCCGGTGCATTTGAGCTGAAGACCACAGCATGTGAGTTGATAATGTTCCTCTGGTGTACAGTCAGCATAGTCCAGTCACCACACCAGCAAATGGCCGTCCTGAATAGTACATGGGCAAAATGGCGGCTATGATGTTTCCGGTGGTGCATAGTCACCGCACCACAGATGGGCGTGCTACACTCCTGCAGTGTATCTGCATGTGCACACTGTCTGACGATTGGCAATCGTATTCCGATGTGCTTCGCGTGGCGTAGACCAGGTTGATTTTGGGGTCGATGAACATAATCATTACGGACGGCATATACTTTGATCGATCACGGATGATCGATACATTCTGAGATTTCAATAATTCATTTATTTCAAACTATGGTAACTTCAACATGTCTTCACCGGTTGTGTGGATTGTGCAGTGATCTGGCTTAAGCGGTGATCTGTTTCATTAAGATGATATCGGCTATCATTGAGTGTGTTTGATTAGTCAAGTGTCTGGGCCTTCTCTTCCGTATACTATAATATATATACAGCGAAGTGCTAACTCTAACGAGTTAACAAGGAGAAATCTGTCGTTAAAATAGAAATCGCTATACAGAAATTGATACATATACTGTCCTATTGAGCGTTGAGAATAAGTGAGAATCAATACCTTTGGTACACGTGAACCAGTCAATTTTGGGAAAATCGTTATAATAAAGATTTTGAAACTCGGGTATTGAGCCAATAATAAAAGTAGAAAGGAAAAGGACATATGGAAACGAGTTAAGAGTAACTCTCCACCACTGTAACTAGATACTATATACAGTCAGAAAGTGCAACAACTAGGCACAAAACTGACAGAGTACTGAGACATTCGACGTCCTGACACCTAGCTTCAACACATCTCCGTAGCGCTAACCGACAGCCTTCCAACTTGGAAGGTTCAAGGTTATGGAAAGACCAAAGAGGGGAAGGCAAGCGCAACGAAAATGAGCACAAGCTACAGTCCCAACGGAACAAAGAATGCCGATTGTCACTGGACGATGACGAGACCAGTAGGTTTTGTAGTCAACTAGTCCATCACAATGTCATGCATGAGGAGTACTGTAGGAGTTTAGATTTCGGCTTGTACAATTCGTTCTCGCAAAGCTTCCCCCTTCTTAACTTATCTTTGATATTTTTGACCCACCCAAGTTGGGTGGTGTGCTGCTTTGCTGCTTCGAATTGTAGTTAGACCGCTTTGTCAAATCGCCTACTGGTCTCGTCATCGTCCAGTGACAATCGACATTCTTTGTTCCGTTGGGACTGTAGCTTGTGCTCGTTTTCGTTGCGCTTGCCTTCCCCTCTTTGGTCTTTCCATAACCTTGAACCTTCCAAGTTGGAAGGCTGTCGGTTAGCGCTACGGAGATGTGTTGAAGCTAGGTGTCAGGACGTCGAATGTTTCAGTACTCTGTCAGTTTTGTGCCTAGTTGTTGCACTTTCTGACTGTATATAGTATCTATAGTCAGTTTTAAAAAGATTAGCAATCTTGGCGATCGCCCAGGGAGTTTGCCGTCTTACCGTATGAGCGCTCGAGGACTGCCTGGAAAAACTCACTGTGAACTCAAAGAAATATTCCGCGCGAAAGCATTAAAAATGACAACTCACTGACGTCGGTACTCGTACATGACTTTGTATTCGTCTGGTTTACAACAAACGAGTTCTTCCTCGAATCGATATGGAGTCAGAGAAGTAAATAAGTAAATTATCGTATCCGTTCCCGAAGGGAACTCACGACGGCCGCTAACACCCGATAAACCCTAGCGGCAGATGCAGCGCCTAACGGTGGGGGTGAGTGGGTAAGTCTCACAACCACTGGCACAAGTGCCGAAAGCGACCCCATTAGCTGCATCCATGGAGTCAGAGAGGACATGTCGAAAGTCTGGTAAATTTTGACGAGCGGGATGCGTCCCAATTCGTTTTGTGACCAAATAGATTCTTTGAGCTGCAATTATTTACTCTCACGATGTGACGAAAACGGCATTTACACAGACTCATTCCCAAGGCCTTGATGTGGCAAAGCTATCCGTGTGACTTCAACGACATTTTGAGAAAAGCAGACGCCTGTGAAAGCTGATAGAAGACGGCGTTGACTCCTAAATTCAAATAAATTGGCGATCTTCAAATACTAAAATAATTCTCAAACAGAAATCAATCGATCGATGTGCCGGTGTATTCAACAACACGTAGCTACAGCGCAGTGACTTCCGTGTTCACTCACACGGTTTCAGTGTTGTGTGTGTTCACAACTTCACATGGCGTGAGCCAGTCAAGTGTCAGTCAGTTCGGCAGGAAACGCGAGCTCCAACAACAAGTCGTTTGGCGCAGCCACCTTCTTTGTCTTGACTCTTGTACAAAAATTGTACCAGCGTGATCACCAAAACAATGAAAAAATGAAGAAAAAATGTTTGACTTGAAGATTTGCTGGGATTTGAACTCACAACTTCATGGTCAGCAGACAGCATTCATAACCACAAGGCCAAAGAGGAAGGGATAAATCGTGGATTTTGATAACAAATCGATACTGGCTTCCAGGGCAAATTATAAACCATGGGAAAAGGCAAGAAACCTGGCCGAAATTCTAGCTCCTTAACGGTTGGTCCAATTGTTCTGAAACCTTCACAGAACAATTTGCCATGCCCTAACAAGCCATTTTATGTACTTTGTTGTCCAAATTTCCCTTATCTTCATACTTTTTAAGACCCAAACTTGATTGCTAATCTTTTTGAAACAGACTGTAGTTACAGTGGCGGAGAGTTACTCTTAACTCGTTTCCATATGTCCTTTTCCTTTCTACTTTTAAAGATTTTCCCAAAATTATATAATATATACTATGTGCCTCGTTAGAACAATGGCCTAAACAGTAATGTTTTTTTTTGCCACCAGCCTGCCGCCACTAAATCAAGCCAAACATGAAAAATGAAGCCAGCTTGTCTTCCATACACTGTAGTGGAGAAGTGTGTAGGTGTTTAGGATGCAACGTGAAATACAGTTTACACGTGGGTTTTTTGTTAAGAACTTTGAAGCTCCCTTGTAGCATTGTCATCTTTTCACTTCACCTCCAATCCGCAACGCACGAATCGTCCTTGGTTACACCCAAAACTGCAACGCATTTCCCGAAAATTCCAAAAGCCCAAATCAGTGCCTTTTGTTAAATTCACAGGGTACCAGGGCCAGAGAGTGGCATTGAACGTACCTGATGTGGTGTCAATGTGTACTGTAAATATACAAAATTTCGGCGCTGCAAAATTTCGGCACTTCACGATTTTTGACATTTCGGCGGCGATTTATTTTCGGCGTGGGGTAGAGGGCATGGTATAGTGCGACAAATGCTGTGAAAAATTTCATCGGCGTTTTAATTTAGGCGTTTTGGGTCGGTGCCGAATATAGCTGAAATTAAATAGCTGCCGAAAATTTGTATATTTACAGTACCCCCGTGTTTGTAAGTCTGTACGTGTGTTTTTGTGCGTGTGTGGGCACGCGAGAGTGTGCGTGTCTGTGTGTGTACATGCGTGTGTTTCTACATGCGTGTGTTTGTTTACGTGTATGTGTGAGAGAGAATCTGTGCGTGTATATGTGTGTATGCTGGCAAAACAATGATGTTCCTGTATCTCTTACTCTGCTGGCTACAGACAATGAAATCTTCACACGGGTGGACGGGCACATCAAAGACATGGAGAGAGATAAGAAAGCAGGCAATGCACTACACCAGGGCAACCTCTCCACCCCTGCTGGTCGAGTCACCCAGCAACAGCAACAGCAGCCACAACTGATTTCACCTCCCACCTCACCAGGCTGGCAACAGCAACAACAGCAGCAGCAGCAATTCCACCAGGCTCAGCAGTTTCAGCAGCAGCAACCGCAGTCCCGCACGCTGCAGCAGCCGCTAGCGCCCAACGTCCCGAAAGCTCCCAGTCGCGGGGGAAGCCTCATGGTATGTAAATCATTGGTCATGTGTGCACCTGCGTGCGTGTGTGTGCGTGTGTGTTTCGTGTGTGTGCGTGTGTGTGTGTGTGCGTGTGCAAGTGTGTGTGTGTGTGTGTGTGTGTGTAGTAGTAGCAGTAGTATTCATTATTTTACTAGGGCAATCCCCACAGACTGTGAATCTTTTTAACAGGGTACCCTAGGTAAGTGTGTGAAATAGAGCTGAATGAAGAAAACCGTAAGTGCATGAAATAGAGTAAAGAAAAAAGAAAACGGTGGCTGCATACTATGCCATTATGTGTGTGCGTGTGTGTGTGTATGTGTGTGTGTGTGTGTGTGTGTGTGTGTTGAGGGGTGTAGCTGGCACTATGTACCATTGGCAACGTCATGGCGGCAATTTTACTCTTCTTCACTATGTAGTACATATTATGACAGTCATTTGCTGGTGTGGTGACCAAACTATGCTCACTACACACGCGCTAAGCACCTGCTGATCTTCAGAGTTTAGTACAGTAAAAAACCTGATTCAAGCGACCACCTCACGGTGCAAGCAAAAGCAGTCGTTAAAGCCAGGTGGTCTTTGGAGCCAGGTCTCATATATTTGTGGCGTATCGGATCATGTACATACAAGGACATGATTGTCCTTCCATGTATTCATATTGACAAGTGTGGAGCATAGAATACTTTCGTGCAGGCAAAGCACGCCTCGCTCAACTTCTCAAGTGCATGCAGCGCATCCTGCGCTGTCACTTGTCACTTCTGTTCACTGCATGCACTTGCTTCAGAGCGTACTTCAACCCTGTTTCAATCGACCCTGCCAGCCAAGCTGGCACTTTTGGCTAGTTTTGGTCGCTGTGGTCAGGTCCGATATGGCACCTAGTACACTAAAAGCCGGTTGCTGGTCGTTCAGGGAAGGTGGTCTCTGTATCCGGTGCAGTTTCCTTTTAGAACTGGTCGTGCATGGAAAACGGTCGTTAAAACCAGAAGTCACTTCAGGCGCGTGCCCGCATGGGTTCCTGGGTGCCCGGAACCCCCCATTTTTCGCTCAAAATGCAGGATTTTGCTTCATTTTTTGAACATTTCCCGGGGTGCCCCCACCCCCCCCCCCCGAACCCCCCCCCCCCCCTGAAGGGCACCGCCGCACGCCCCTTCACTTACACCAGTGTTTACTGCATTGTAATTATATGTTTGTGCATCTGAAGATGTGGAATGCGAAACCTGAATCCATTTGATCACTCTTCAGGGAATGGCCCAAAAAGAATTCAGTTTGGGTTTTTTTTTAATCTAAATCTATATTCCGGTTCCAGTTTTGAAGGTGGTCTAGTCAGATTTTGCATATCAAAATGTTTCATGGTGGTGCCCCTGGACCTTTTGATTGCACATATTTTGCGCCTCACTGGTTTTGCATTTCAGTTGCTCAAGATTATATCTTGGCCGTGTGTCATACTCTGTGTGAGGTTGATTCTTCTTCTCTTTCTGCCATCTGTGTTTCTTGCTTTGTTAATCGTACCATCACCTGACACGCACGCACGCATGCACACGCACGCACACACATGCATGCACACACACGCACACACGTATACACGCACACACGTGCACACACACACGCACACATACACACACACACACACACACACATACACACACACACTCTCTATCTCATCCGCCCATGCATGCATACACGCAATGCTATAGCGGCCGTCTGGACCAATAATTGACGACGACGAAGAAGAATACACGGAAGCGCGTCCGTTCCAGCCGACACGACAGAGCCGCGCTGCGCCTGGTGTGCCATCATCTGCTCTTCCTGCTCTTCCGGGTGAAGATGGTGGTGGGGTTGGTGTTGGAGGTGGTCTTCCACCCAAACCTCAACCCCGTGGTAGCAATCAAACTCTTCCCAAACAGCTCGCAACTATAGGTAAGAACAGTACAAACTCGGATGTCTACAGTTGCCATATATGGCAAACATTTGACCAATGATGTCTGCAGTTGCCATATATGGCAAACATTTGACCAACGATGCCTGCAGTTGCCATATATGGCATACATATTACCAATCCATGGTTTTGAGCACTCATGCTCACTGCATGCTGCTTCTGGCGCTGACGCTGCTGGTGCTGCTGCTGCTGCTGCTTCTGCTGGTGGTGGTGATGCTGCTGCTGCTTCTGCTGGTGGCTGCTGCTTCTGCTGCTTCTGCTGCTTCTTGTGCTGCTGGCGGTGACGCTGCTTTTGCTGGTGGTGACGCTGCTTTTGCTGGTGGTGGTGCTGCTGCTTCTGCTGGTGGTGGTGCTGCTGCTTCTGCTGGTGGTGGTGCTGCTGCTGCTTCTGCTTCTGCTGCTTCTTGTGCTGCTGGTGGTGACGCTGCTTTTGCTGATGGTGACGCTGCTTTTGCTGGTGGTGGTGCTGCTGCTTCTGCTGGTGGTGGTGCTGCTGCTGTTGCTGCTGCCTCTGCTGCTTCTTGTGCTGCTGGTGATGACGCTGCTTTTGCTGGTGGTGACGCTGCTGCTGGTGCTACTGTTGCTACTACTGTTGCTGCCATTGATGCCGTTGCTGCAGTTGCTTAGCTCAGGCCAGTGCTGCTGTGTTCTAGTTATTTCTTGCAATCACTGTCTCCAACATCACGGGGACTGCTGTGTATAATTGCTGGTGCTTTCACCTGTTCTTTTTCCTGCTACGAGAACTTCTACTCAACCCTATTGACTACATGTAACTGTATGCGTAACCATGTTTGTGTTTGATGGACACACACGCACGCACACACACACATACACACACACACACACACACGAACACCCCTCCCCCCCCCACATACATGCACATGTACACACGAAAGATTCAAGCGAAGCTATCGACACGGAGGAGCAATACGACACCGCAGCGGCAATAGCAGAGCACGGGGGAACACTACCTGCTCCCAGAACGGCGTTCAATGGTACGTAGCTATCATACCAACTACCGTCTACAGTAAACCTGTAACTAAAGACCACCGTGACTAGCGACCAGCCTGGTACTACAGTAAAACCTGTAACTAAAGACCACCGTGACTAGCAACCAGCCTGGTACTACAGTAAAACCTGTAACTAAAGACCACCGTGACTAGCAACCAGCCTGGTACTACAGTAAAACCTGTAACTAAAGACCACCGTGACTAGCAACCAGCCTGGTACTACAGTAAAACCTGTAACTAAAGACCACCGTGACTAGCAACCAGCCTGGTACTACAGTAAAACCTGTAACTAAAGACCACCGTGACTAGCAACCAGCCTGGTACTACAGTAAAACCTGTAACTAAAGACCACCGTGACTAGCAACCAGCCTGGTACTACAGTAAAACCTGTAACTAAAGACCACCGTGACTAGCAACCAGCCTGGTACTACAGTAAAACCTGTAACTAAAGACCACCGTGACTAGCAACCAGCCTGGTACTACAGTAAAACCTGAAACTAAAGACCACCGTGACTAGCAACCAGCCTGGTACTACAGTAAAACCTGTAACTAAAGACCATCGTGACTAGCGACCAGCCTGCTACTACAGACCACTTCGCCAGGCACGGACGGTCTCACATTCATATATGGTTGTGCGGTGCAAACCTCTAACTAAGGACCACCTGCAACTAAAGACCGTTTTCTCTTGCCCCAAGGGGTGGTCGTTAGTCACAGGTTTCACTGTATCAGTTTTTGCCAGAAATTAAAATGAATACCGTATTTTGCGGAGTACAGCCGCTCCAAGAATGTTTGTTACGAAACGAAATACGGACATCTACCCTAGGTATCACCATGAATTTTATCATCGCAGTATAAGCCACACTGACTATTTCTGGCTGAATAGCTAGGGTTTTCAGTGCGGCTTATACTCCCGGAAATACGATACTGTCGAAGAAAATGATTTTAGTGTGATTGAGACCTAACAACAATGAGGCAGTCATGGGAGATCATTAGAGAGATCAACGTGCCCGGCAAACACGTGGGGCGGACTGGTGCAGGAGGTGAAATCCCAGCAAGGTCTAGCCAGACAGGTCACATGCATGAGGTCTCGCTCGCCTAGGACCATTTCTGTGTGGTTTCATATGCTCTTTTGCTTTTTTTCTTCAATTTTTCGAAGAAAAGGAATATTTCGCCATCGCACACATGTTGATGATTTTATTTCTAGTTTCTTGATGATTCCTTGTACATATAAACGCAATCAGGTACTTTGTTCCTTGTCACATATGTGTAGTTTCTTGACCCGTGTACCCAGACACATGCAGTCTCGTTCAGATCGAGTGAATTATAATATACATCAGTGTTCAAATTGTCGTAACTCTAGGGTCCTTATGCCAGTCAGCGCAAACGATAGCTCGTTGGAAAACTGAGGAAAAAGGTCACCAGTGATATGATTATTGTCATTTGGTATAGCGTAATGCAGATTGATGAAGAACCTGAGACCGAAACACGAATACGCTTGAATGCGTTGACAAGTTGCATGCGCAGCACTAAAGACACAGCTGTTTGAGATAAAACCGACAGGTGTAGATAAAATAGAGAGAAATTAGTATGAAACTCGGATGTTGATGTTGAGTTACTCTTAACTCGTATCCATAATGTCCTTTTCCTTTCTAAATTAGTATGAGTGAGGGAGTATACAAGAGAACAAAATGGTGTTAATTAATCTCAATGTCATGCCAACCGTCGCCTCTGCCCTCTTCCCTACATGTTGTCATGAGCAGACAGGCAGCGCAATGTTGCCATGGCAGCTGCTGCAGTCGCCGCCGGCAACAGTCGTCAGTCAGCGTCGCTGTCGACGGCCTCACACCAGCTCGGAGAGATTGAAGTGGTACCGGTCGGGGTAAGTCAAGCTACACATCCATGTCTTTGATCCATCCCCTTTTACTCTTTTTTTTAACCACATAATTTCGTTCCCTCTAATTGACTGAGAATTGACCAGTTTGAAAATATTTGAAAATGTAGAATGTGCACAAGCTATGTCCCTCGGCAACAAGTTTTGTAGAAAAAAAGAAAAAAAAGAATGTCGAACGTTACGGGATGATGATGACGAGACTAGTAAGACTATTTGACAAATCGGTCTAACTGCAACTCGAAAACGCAAACGTTCGACAATCTTTGTCCGTACAGTGCGGACAAGGATTGTCGAACGTTTGCGTTGACGACCTCGAAGGAGCGAAACAGCTGACTAGTTGCGTAACAGTTATCTATCAGCTGCAGTGTACTTGCTGTGCGGTTGTGTTTATGCCTCCTGCATCATCCGTGTTTGATAAAAGTATGTGCCGTCCATTAAGGGTTAAACAAATTCATGGTTCGCGTTAGACTCAGCTGGAGGCCGAGTTTTTCGCATCCGTAGGGACGCCGCCACCCTCTGTGGATCTAGGCGCAGATGCAGCTCCTAAAGCGGTGGGAGTTGATTAGATCAGACCCACCACAAAGGGTTAACGCTGAAACAAATTCGGCAGGCGCATTATATTCACACATTCACATTTTCATCTCATTGTAGTGTGACATCCTTTGGATGATTATAACAATCTTTGGTTGTATGTAAAGCTATGTGAGCAGGAAACCGCAAGGAAATACTTTTGTATCCGGGGTTCATAATCCCTAGCGTGCGAAGAGGTCCCCGTTCATCACTGGACAGGGCTCAACACGGTTAAATGAACCACTATCACACCAAAGGGGTTAAGGTAATGTTCATAACGGTGAGAATGTCATGTTTGCGTTCGTCCGAATTGTCTTCCATGCAGAGCCATTATAACCAATTGCGGAGGCCGAGCGCTGACGATGTCGGCAATAGTGCTGCTGTCGTGGGTGGTGGTGCTAACAGCATCACCAGGGCGGCACCACCGCCGCAGACCAGGTCTCAACCGCACTCTCGTCGCGGCTCTGACACAGCTGCATCCGTCACCACCGGCAACAGGGCTCCGCCGTTGCCAGAGCAACCAAGCGCAACAACGCGTACATCAGGATCTGCCGGTGGCGTTGCCGGACAGATGGGAGCGATGAACGTAAGTGGTGCTAAACGACCGAAAGCATCCACACCGCGTAATACTTCTAGCTCGTGAATGTTGCTCGAATAGGAACATCTCTGTTTATTGGCGCGTGTGTTTGAGTAACTGAGTGTGTATTTTGTGCGTGTGTTTGCGTTTATGTGTGTGTGTGTGTGTGTGTGTATGTGTGTTTGTGTGTGTGTGTGTATGTGTGTTTGTGTGTGTGTGTGTATGTGT